ATATTTGTCCTGAATAATATATTTTTATGGAAGGGATTCAATTAATCAGTTATATGCATGTTTTCATTGTTTTTCACGAATTTTCATTGACAGAGCAAAGGACCAGGCACAATCATTATGGAAAATGACTGCTGATTTTCGGTATGATGAATGTCCTGATCAAAAGTCTCCACGGGCACAACGGAAAATAATGGACAGTTTTTGAGAGAAAAATTGGTCAAATTGGGAAAAAGGGGCCATGTTATTTTGCAACTTCATGCCTCTTGAATATTGTAGCATGTGCTTTAGCAATTCTTTCATGGACGTGACGTATAAGCCTCATCCGATTATCGGAAAAAAAATTATAAAACATTATGAAAACAATTGATAGCGAGAAAGTTAGTCAACGGATATGGATAAAGTTATATACAGAACGATTCAAATGATATATAGGGGGTGATACAGGGGACAATAATGGAAGTAAAATATATTGCAGAATATGTACGAATTTTTTTTTCTGATTGATTCGGCCTTTACTTGATGAAAATCCATAGTAATTTCATAAACTACACTTCACGATTTGATCTCCACAAACTTTATTTGAATCGTAAGATGTAGTTTATGATAAACAAATAATATACATTGAAATAATAAATAATCAATAAAACACCATATTAAAGAGTGTGTTGCACGAACTGAATGGCATTTAGTCAATGATATGAGGTTCCATCTCATTTCCATTTCAATTTTCCGCATCGATAATGTAGTCCAACGAGTCCAACATGGTCAAGTACCTGCTTATAAACAGCTAGTTCAAGAATTTTTTCTATTGGTGGTAATGTATTTATAGGTCTACATTCACTGGCCTTGATTGTATTGTTAACCTTCTGAATGGAAACTATAGTACTAACTTTTAAAATATTTGGAATTTTAGAATTTTGAAGAGAAGCATTTACAAGGTTTAAAATTATATGTTTACATGTTTCAAAAATTACTTTGAGCATTTTGGAATTTAATATCTCATGAACAATGTTTTTGGTGTCTAAGGAGTTAACAATTAGACATAATTCATTCATTGTTAATATGTGAAACTTGGAAAATTAAGATATAGATTATAATTATTGAATTTCCAATCTTGAACATTATCTATAGTATCAACAATTTGCTGAACACTAGTAATGAAGTCGTAGTTAGTCGAAGTTTACTATTTCAGTTTTATCATTAACAATATACAGCTGGTTTGTTAAGTTAAATTCTATACAGCTCGGAAAGTTTCGGCAATTCATGTCTATAAGATTTTTAAATTTTTTCCACATTAGTTGAGAGTTATTTTCATACATATCTACTCTATCAAAGAAGAATTGTTCTTTTTTCTTCTTTAATAAATTTACTATTTCATTTCTCTGTTTCTTAAATTCTTTCCATTTGACATTTCTATTCACACCAATAGTTTTAATAAAATCCTTATATATCTGATCACGTTGTTTTATTTAATTATGAATTTTGTTGTCAAATCATGAAATGTTACTTTTATAGTAACAGACTTGAATTGGTGCAACTTTATCGATAACTGATTGACAGTTATCAAGTAAATTGGAATATATGACACTAACATCTGTTGAATTCAAATCCCAATCACATGAAATTGAATCTAGTTTTATTTCATCCAAATTTCGCTCAATAAGGTTTCTATAATTTTTGATAGAAGTGCTGTAATGATATACAGGGTTCCTCATTTGAAAATCAAAAATTGATGTAATTTTCCGAAAAACCGGAAGTTGAGTTTGTTTTGAAAATATGTCAAAAAGGGCCGTCTAATGTGCATATTCAAGGTTCCCACAAATATAGCCAGAGAAACAAAATAGAAACGGGGGATATAACACGGTATATCAATTGAATCGTCTCCTATATGTATATCCATGTCCATTGCCTAACTTTCTCAGAATCTATTGTTTTCATAATGTATATAAAAATGATTTTTTGATAACTTGGCTTATGGCTTTATACGTCACCCTGTAGGGTCTGCAATTATTGGCAAACGGTGCTGTAAAGACACAAGGCCCATGAAGGAATTGCTGAAGTGCATGCTACAATTTCTAAAAGGTATGAAGTTGCAAAATAACATGGCCTATTTCTTCCGTTCTACTACCAAATTCCCCATTTTGCCGACTATCAGCTATTTTTTTCTCAAAAACTGTCAATTATTCAATAATGTCATAGAGACTCTCGATCATCATACCAAAAAATCAGCAAAAGTCACCGAAAGCCATTTTCCATAAGGTTTGTGCGTGATCCTTTGTCTGTTTCAGGAAAATGAAGTCATTAATTTATTTCCAAGATTTTTGAAAAATTATCCAGAAGAGTGCTAATGTGAAAGTTCAAGATCAATGTTTTCACCTGAAACTCAAAAACCTCAAAGTCCTTTCATATCAACACTCTCATACATCAATTTCTCTAGCATTTTTATTTGGGGTATCAGGAAGTCCACAAAAGTTTCGAAGAACTCATTACCGAAAGTGTACATATTCGGACAACTCCGAACATAATTCAGAACTCATCCAAAAATTGTTTTTCACATTCCTGATATTCACTATGATTGGGAAAGCACAAGTTGATGATGACACAAATTCTTATTTGTGTGCATACACTGGATGTTGACAATTTTACTTGGTATGAAATGTTGGATCGGAATTAATTGATTACGATCTCATGACTTCATTTCCATTCAAAATTTCGCACGCAATTCATATTTTTGTTTGTTTCGATTTTTGCCTATCTTGGTCTTTATTATCTCGTTTATTGTCGATATCTGTAGACTGAGTCATATCTCGATTCCATGGGTGGTATCATCATCTTCTCAGAAAGATCTGTGTATTGGTGATACCCCATTTCTCGGATTGTACCACAAAATCTTTGGAATGATCGTTACCTACAAGAGAATTCTTGAGGCATGAAATAATCTTGGTTCTCTGAGATACATATTTTCAATCAGATGATTTGTCAAGGAGCCAGCCAGAAAAATTATATACAAAATTGAATTTTCAATATTCAGTGTACCTACTGATCTGATGGAGATCTTGAATCGTGTGCAATTCTTAGAGGGAGCTCTAGCGTAAAACGAATTTGAGAAAAATACATTTCTGAAACAAAGCAAAAACACTGTCTCTCGACTCACGTTTCCCGCACCAAGTTAGCATCATCAGGAGATAATATAATCTGAGTATTATATCTGAGTTAGGCATATTTATATACCTCAGGTTATGATGGTGAATGACAAATATACACATAAAAAGACAAACTCAAACTACAACTAGAACACATACCTTTCTCAAAATTGTGAAAACATTTTTCTACAAGAAAATTCCTGAGGTTGCGCTTGAAAATAAATAAAGTGTCGGAATTTTCAATGACATTAGGTAACAAATTCAATTAGCGAGGAGCCAAATGATTTGGTGAGTTTTATAGGCCAGTTTGCTTTCCCCAAATGGTATGCGGAAATTGATTTTCTGTCGAGTGTCGAGATTATATCTTTTTATTCGATACGATTTTTTTTTCATTCTTGAAACCACATAAGGATAAGTGAAATATTGAAAGACAAGGTACAGTTAAAACTTCGAAACATTTGAAAGCATTTCTACAAGATTTATGAGCATTCTAGTACCAATCAAGCGAATCTAATATTTTTTTTGTGAAATGTAGACATCATTCCATGTGCATGATATGCCGATTTCACAGAAATTTACTACATTCAGTTCAGTGATACAAAGGGCTTTCACAATACCCCTTTCTAATCAAAACCTCCGAAGTGAAATCGTAATCATTAAACAAATAGCACTTAATAATAATATACCTGTAACTGTAGTTAACAACATTACAATGGAATATCAATAAAAATCAGTAATGAAAGAACTATATTCAATTTCCACAATACCAGAACACAAATATGTCAGTATCAATTATGAAGGTAGAATCTCCTAGAATATTAAAAATTATCTTTCAAAATTCAATCTACAAACATCCTACACATCCAACGAAAATTTAGGAAACAGATTATTTAATACCAAACCCAAATCAGACAAAGAGAAGAGATCTGGACTAAAATGTGGTGAATGCCCCGCCATATATACAGGGCCAACTGGTAGAAATTCGAAACAAAAAATAGACAAAGATAATTTAAAAACCCCCCACACATGCGAAAAAGGGAAGATGATAAATTTTTTGGAATCTATGGAAATAAACAAGTCAGAGAAAAATCCCAATTCTATTATCCTCAACGAACAAAATAGTCCTCTCCTGAACCTATAACCCAGTTATCAGAATTTTTTGTTTTGTTCATCGATATACCGCTATCAATTGAGGTTATCCCAGGTATAGACAATGTAGGTATCAAATTATATTAATGATACATATAGGCAATGTAGGTATAAATACTCAGATTTTAGATCAGATTTATCGTTTGCTCTAGAACTGATAACATCACAGCTACGTCGAATACCATAACGAGAAAGTTTATCTATATATATATATATATATNNNNTATATATATATATATATATATCTGTTTTGTGTTTGACACAATTCAAAAGAAATAGAACTATCATCACTAATTAATTTTTTAATTGATTTTTCAATTTGTGGGCAAAATTTATGAATACGACAAGTTACTGACTAATCGGACTTATCAATAGTTTATATTATGCAGTAACTTTTTCGAGTGAACTGCCCAGTTCGCCCTTCATTACTTTTCAGCAGATTCTTTATTGATTCAGCTTTCATTTATTCAGGTTGTGGAAGGCATGAAATATTGACTCCTCCACAAAAAATGACTTTTGAAGAATAAAACTCAGTTCATATTATCTTCTGATGATGCTAACTTGATTGACAAACCGCGCGTCGAAACACGGTGTTTCTGTTTTGAATTGGGAAGATTGTTTTTTTCGGACGAAATTAATATTTTTTGTATATAGGTGAAACAAAAAATATAAAGTGTTCTGAAAAATTGGATAAATCTCTATCTCTATCATAAAAATTTTGTGTATCTTCTCAAATAACATTCAGAAAATATGGTTCATCATCTGAATAATGAGTTTGTGTAACTTCCCGAGAACACAGGAAGAAAACAAAAAACTATTCTCTAGAAATATATTTAATCAGAAACTTCAGAATTCCCCTTCAGCAACTTCTCGACCAACTCCGCTGCTTCGGCCGCACATCCCACTGACAGAGTAATCCCGGCCCCTCCGTGTCCATAATTGTGAACGATTTTGAGGTCACACGTTGGCGTCCTTTTAATTTCTGCTTCCAATCGGACCTTATTCCTGGCTGGCCGCAAGCCAACCTGATGCTCGATTACTTCTGCGGACTTTATGGATGGCAACAGCTCCGAACAATTTCTGCGAACATAAGGAATTTTCAATCTACGACCGTCTCGGTTTCGTTTTTGGGTTTAAGTCATCTGATTCTCTAGAAAGCAGATTTTTGTAGTGTGGAAAATTGAAATTGTTGTCGATACTGTTCCGTGTTTTGAGTGTTTTATGTAGATGTTGATGGCAACAAAAATTGAAATAGAAACTAGTGTGGTATTTGGTTATTTTTGGCATTAGTGTTAGGAGTCACACGTTGAAAGGTAAGACCTCATTAGTCCTTAGCTCGCACAAGTTTCTCAACTTCTGAGAGTTATCGTTCCTATGGGGACGACAGCTGATTAACAGAAAAACATATTTTAAACAGATATTGAACAGATTCAACAGTGAGTTCGGTTTACTTTTCTGTTTCAGGTTTCAACTCAAAAATGATAATTGCGAAACTCATTTCTCTGAAAATTGAACCACAAATACCGAATGGTGAAATAGATACATGTCAATGCCACTTCCTTTCAGATGTTTCGAGAAAATTGAAGTGAAAAATGTCGTACTGAATAATTTGTAAGTGATGGATTTTTCAAAGGAGGTTATACAGGGTGTAACTGAATAAGCGTAAAACATTCAAGGAAGTGATTCCTCATCGAAAAGAAGATAGGATCTTTCATATAGAGAAACTTCATTGGAGCATCCCTTGTTAAGATACAGCCCCCTAAAAGGGGTACATAAAATTTGTATAACAAATTTTTCACAAGCACTGAGAAAGTTACAATATTGAAATTAACCTGACGTTTTGTACTACCATAAAGACACTTAGCCTGTAATTTATTTGGTTTACCCCATGGTTGGAAAAGGCAACCCCTAAAATTTATTTCCAATGTAACTTTTTGTCTTATGATTTGTTTACCATTTAAAAATTCATTTCCGATAGCCAGTTTCGTTATAAACAAAAAATGTCTCTCGGGCTTTTTGTCCAAAATAAACCAGTTCGCAGAAAAACATTATTTCACGAACAACTACAGAGATACATCGTTATAAATGCGAACTGGATTTATTGTTATTTTGTAGTTAGTACCTGCATTAAATGGTTAAAGGGTAATAAACAAAACTGATTTATTAATGACAAAACACTCAACATGTAGAAATCATAGTAAATGTTCAATATGTCTACCTTCAGAGATTACGCATGCGTCTAGACGTCGGCGCATTGGGCCACGTATTCGCTCAAATATTCCTGGAGTCTCTCTGATTACCCTGCACGCATCGATGATGCGGTTTCTTAAGTCCTCTACATCGTGAACAGGAATACGGGGATCGAGCGAATAATTAAAAATGAATAGCTGAAAATAACAATTATATTAAGCAAAATAAACCTGAAATGAAATAATAGTGAAATAAACTACAAGTTAAAATATAACAATTGAATGAATAAAAACAAAATAAAAATAAAGGAATGAAAAAAGAAAATAAAAATAAAAAGTGTAGAGATTCCAAGTCACGTTAGTTCACGACGTTTCGATTGTTAGTATCTACAATCGTCTTCGGGTGATGACTGCCATGTCAGTCATAGTAGACAATGGAAGTCTGAACTAGAAAATTATTTTTTGCTGCGAACTGGTTTATTTTGGGCAAAAAGCCCGATACATTTTTTGTTTATAACGAAACAGGCTATCGGAAATGAATTTTCAAATGGTTAACAAATAATAAGGCAAAAAGTTACATTGGAAATAACTTTTAGGGGTTTCGTTTTCCTCCCCTTACAACCATAGGGTAAACCAAATAAATTTCTGGCTAAGTTACTTTTTGGTAGTACAAAACGTCAGGTTAATTTCAATATTGTAACTTTTTTAGTGCTTGTGAAAAAAATTGTTATACAAATTTTATGTACCCCCTTTAAGGGGCTGTATCTTAACAACGGATGCTCCAATGAAATTTCTTTATATGAAAGATCCTATCTTTTTTTCGATAATCATTGAATTACACGAAAGAAAAATTAACTTTTATGGAATTGAAACATATACCATTTATAGCAATGCTACACAGTATAATATATGTAGAAGAACACTGTCAGGAAAACTCAATTTTTCTCAAAAAATATTCTTCTATTCATCAGTTTCATCCTCTTCAGAGTACTTCTCCTCAGATACAATACACTTGTGCCAGCGTTTTTTTTTGCAGAGAGGCAAATCTGGTTAATACGGTGACTGGGGCATTTTAACGGAGTAGTTTATGCCCTTCTGAGAAAGTCTTATTTGCGGTTAACTTCAATTCCACAACAATTTTTTTCAAAATTTCAATCGGTTGTTGATATGCTGGGGAGTCCAGGACGAGTGTCGTCATTCACATCTTCTCGACCTTCCGTGAAGAGCTTGTACCTCTTGTACAAATTTTTCTGACTCACAGTTCAATCCCCGTATCAATATTTCAATTATTTGTATACGAAATTTGATTCAAATTCTTTCTTCCATTATTTTCCATAGCAGAAAGTTGCAGAAAACGCAGAATACTTCTAACTTTTCTGTCTCTTACCTATGAAATGAACATGCTGAACAGTTGAAATTGTAATACATGTTCAAAACGAGTGTAGCAACATGAAAAAAATTGCTAATCGAATGTACGTAGCCCGCGAAATTTAAATGGTACTGGATACAGCCTGTAAATTCGTCAGGAGTTCGGATCCCCTTCTCTGCATGGTCCGTGACCATGAGAGAGCAGGAATTGGAGCATTTCTCTTTAGGGCAGCTGCCCAAGCAGCTGATGAACTCGGTATAGTATTCGAGTTGGAACCCGTTCAGCAAAAAGCTCAGATGAAAGCCGCAGAGATCACTTTACTTCTGCAGAGACACAAGGATAAGCCAATGCATGAAGTCTCCTCCAATAACATTGGAGACCTTGGCTTATCAAAGCGCCTGACCTTCGCTTTTCTCAGGTCGAATGGACTGAAGTCGGAAACTGAGGGGTCCATCATGGCTTGCAAGAATGGTGTCTTCAACACCTTAGTCTACCGCAGTCGCTTGATGGGTATAGAGGTTCCTGACTCACAAGGTGCAGGGCCTCAAACTGCTTGAGGAGTGCCAGATGATGACAGTACTACCAACTGTCGAAAGCGCTCGCAGATAATTAATAGAAGATATAAAGCTTCAAATTCTTTTTGTAGAATTTAATATGTAATGAAATGAAGTTTTCAACGATCTTGCATTTTCAACCATTTTGCGGATCTCAACTTGTGAGATATTGGATCACTTTTGCGAATACCGTAGATCAATCTGAGACATGATTTCTGAATTTTTTCTATACGATTAATATCGTTATGATCTAAGCATGGCCCATACAGAACGTCACAAAAGTGACTCAGGACAAGTGTATCACTTAACTTTTTTTTTTAGTGATTGTGAAAGAATATATCTATGAGAGTAAAGCATTTTCAATGAACAATAAGCCTTTTGAAGACAAAAGTTAATATGTTTTCTAAATCCAAGTTCTGTATCTAAGTATAAACCTTAATTTCTCGCATCACTTGTGAATGGTATATCTTCATTTTGAATTTTAATTTTCATAATATTTTCAATGTGATATTTGTTTTTTCTAAATATCCTTACTTTAGACTTGAGTGCGTTGATTTTCAACTTATGCGCATGTGATACTTCTACTAATCGGTTTATATCTTCAGATATAATTGTTTTATCTCTTATTTAGGAATTTGAACTTTATATCAATTATGTCCAGGATGTCTGAATTGTCTTCCATGAGCTATAGCCACCTGTTTCAATAGTTCATTTGGTCCCTAGAATTTTTTATTGAAAACATGAATGCACCTGAAAATGAAAATTGAGAGAGCGGTATTGTTAGGCACTGAAGTTTGAAAAAAAATTATTTGGAATCACGGTTAAAATCTGTTTTTCCGTTAACCAGCTAACGCCCCCTACGAACGATATCCCTCAGAAGTCGAAATCGGTGAGAACTGAGGATTCCTTGTACGGGTTAGACCAGAGGTTTTCGATTTTGTTTGATCTGCGGCTTCTTAATTTTGTTGCGGTTCCCTCAGTTCGTTAGATGTTTTCTTAATTTTTGACTTTTTTGAAAAGTTGGGATGCGGAACGAAAAGAAAATAATAAAATACTTGAGGGTTGCTAAATTTTTGGAATTTTGTCGGCATACACGATTGCTGAAGCAAAAATTCGAGAATCTGAAACTCCAGGAAAAGTGCCGAATGTTCAATGAACCTTTTTCCTGAAGTACGAAAAATCACTCACTAGCAGTGCTAGTAGTTCGGTAGGGACAAACACTGCCTAATCCTCATATAAACATATGGTGAAGTACAATTAAAAAAGGATGTTTTCAACAGAAGAAGATGTTCCTGGAGCAAAACTAAAATTTGCAACTGTAAAGGATAACAATGTTGTAACATTAAAACGTTGATTTGCATGCCGTAATTTAAAAGTAACTGAAAAAAAAGTAAATCAATAGACAGGTTAGTATACAGACTACTTAAAGAGTAGCGGTAGATTCAAAATGTAATAAAAGAAATTTAAAATAATTATGAATTTCAGATTCATTTCCAAGTGAAATATGAATTAAATATAGATGGTAATGAAATAAATTTATTTGAATATAATGAATGAATATAATTCAATGAACGATTGAGGTTATATCTCATTCTAATCAATGGTAATTAACTATGAAAAATTTACTATTCAATTCATGTTTAGAGCATACATATGAATATTTATTCAATTTTTGCACTGTTGAATCAACTCCTCAAAGCATATATCCATTTCTCACATCTAACCTCATTAATATTATTTTTTATAAATGGTATAAAAAACACGTTACATGTGAATAGTTTATGTTTGTCCCTACTACTAGTGCTGCCTCTCGTGACACGTTGGCTGTATTATTTTCAGAAAAAAGGCTCATTTAATATTTTGTGGCGCCCTTATGACGCCATCTTGACGTCTCGTCCAGCCGTAGGGCTCGAAACAACGTTTCATATAGCGGTCGATTGGCTGAATAGGACGAACCACCCACAACACAACCGGTTCTGTACGACTAAAAATTATAAAACAAAGTCTTCCAGCAGCGTCTATCTGCCTGTCTACCTGAATGCGATGTACTCAAAAACTACCCAATTCCTATGAAACGAAACAAAACAATTCACTCAAAATATTATTTTCATTTTATAGGTCTACAAGACCTATAAAATGTTGTGGAATTGGCCACGATGGTAGTGCGTCCGACTCACGATCGGAAGGTCGTGTGTTCGATTCCCGCCTCGACCAGATATTTTTCTCGAGAGAATTTATCTGGTTGAAGCTGGGATGATTCTGCAACCGTGTTAGGAATCACACGTTAAAAGGTAAGACCTCGTTAGTCCTTAGCTCGCACAAGTTTCTCAACTTCTGAGAGTTGTCGTTCGTATGGGGGCGGCAGCTGATTAACGGAAAAACAGATTTTAAAACAGATTTAAACAGAAACAGTCCGCGATGGCATATGTCTATCTTTCAAGGATAACTCGTTATTATTCAATTGTTTGGAAAAAATGGTCTCATGTAATGTGTTGAATGGAAAGGTAATTGGGAAAGTTTTTGTTCATGATTTGGTCAGCAGTACCTCTTTTTTAGAGCAAGAATAAATCCATTTCAGATTTCCAATATCAATTTTTCACCATATCATTTCAGAATCGACAAAAATGACTTATATCTGAATAAATTCAACAGACTCTTTTCATTTTTTTACCGTTCACGAGATCACAATTTCAGAAGTGGAATTTGATACAAGTTGTGAAATGTAGAAGGAATTCATTCGTTTGTTTGAAGGTGATTGACAATGTTTCATGGTGAATTCCACTAGTTCGAACTTCCATTGTCTACTATATAAAATGATTTGAAATCCCTGAAACAACTGAAAAAGAAGAATTGAAAATGAATAGCTGACAATAACTATTATATTAACCAAAATAAACCTGAAATGAAATGATAGTGAAATAAAATACAAGTGAAAACAGAACAATTGAATAAATAAAAATAAGGAAATGAAAAAAAGAAATAAAAATAAAAAGTGGAGGGATTCCAAGTCACGTTAGTACACGACGTTTCTATTGTTAGTATCTACAATCGTCTTCAGGTGATGACTGGACTGATTCCTCCGAGAGATGACTATTTATAGGTCGTTCGAGTACTTTCACTTATCCCCGCTTTCCATTTTCCGCTTCACTGGTTCCATGGGAGATGACCGTTTTGGCGGGAGTTGGCCATTTTTCATGTTTCCCACTTAGTGTCGGTCCTCTTCTCCAAAACGTCTAAGAATGGCAATTCGTTGTGGATTTTCTTCTCCATTGTGAAATTAATGGAAGGTCTCACGCAGAAACACATCAACATCCTCCTCTCGGAGGAATCAGTCCAGTCATCACCCGAAGACGATTGTAGATACTAACAATCGAAACGTCGTGAACTAACGTGACTTGGAATCTCTCCACTGTTTATTTTTATTTTCTTTTTTCATTTCCTTATTTTTATTTATTCAATTGTTCTATTTTTACTTGTATTTTATTTCACTATTTGTTATTGGTATCTGTTATTTTCAGCTATTCATTTACAATTCTTCTTTTTCAGTTGTTTCAGGGATTTCAAATCATTTTATATAGTAGACAATAGAAGTCCGAACTAGTGAAATTCAGGAATTCATTCCCTACCTCCAAATATATTCTTTGTCATCTTCATTAACGTTAGTATTGTAATCATCAACTTGTCTAGTTCCACCAAGAGTGGTGAAAGATTTGTTTGACAGAACATAACCACATTTCTCCGTAACCATTAGATATGAGTGGAACACCCACGGAGCGTTGACTTTCATGATTTGTCCTCGAATTGGTTTTATATCAGGATCATCTGAAAAAATTTTGTCAATATGTACTGGATGACGAGACAAATGGTGGCGTGTAAGTGAACTAAATAATATGTGAAACCTGATTTTGAATAAATAAACATACTTTATCAAATAAGGGTATTTAGCGAAAATACTCAATCAAAATAGAGGTATAGTCGAATTAGTTTTTTACAGTTTTTCAAAAATTTGACATTTGCCGATTTCTCAAATTTAGCCAAACCCCAACAAAGTTACTGCTTCATGCCTAACTTATCTTTCCAACGCATTTTTATTATCAATTGCAATTCTAAATATAAATTATTTCGAAAAAATATAAAACACCAGAAAAAATTATGCCAAAAATGATGCAAAGTTGATGCAGTTTTTAAAATAATTAAAAAACAATATCAATGAAAAGTCAATAATTTATTCTTTACTGCACTTTTCAAACAGTTAAACTTTGATTTACTAATTAC